ACATTTAGAGCTCAATATACCAATGAAATATGCAAATTACAGTAACGTGCAATTTAAGTTTAAAACGAATTATCAGTAATTGGTTGACTTTTTTCATTCTTTTATGAGATACAAACAGCTATGAACAAAATAAACAATGATAAGTTATAAAAATTTGTAAGAGTATTTGTAAGATGTAAGACATAAATATGAGTTGACTGATGTTTGAAATAAAATAATTACACGTTTCAAGAACTTTCTAATGAAAAATAACGTAAAGGTATCGTTCATATGCACATATTACAGGTATTCCACTCGTTCACAACTATTCTTCAAATTATTATCAAAACTATTTGAATATACTTATTCTTTAATTTGAATATTTTATATTGATCGATAACTATCGTTGAAATCAGAATTATCTCAACCGTGCTCAAATTAAGGAATAACGTCAAATAATATGGGTTATTCGATTTATTAAGTTTCCAGTAATGACATACGCGATCATGTACGACAATCAATGACATGATCATGTATGACAATAATGTGATCATATTTCATGCATCACGCTTACCGATGATAGCGTGAATATACATACAATGAATTCGTAAAGTAGAAAAAAAAAACGATTAGAGCTATATTAATTTCTTATTATATCATTGCCATTTCAATTACTGATTAACTAAGCTATTAATTATGAAATTGTTTAGTAAAGCAATATTAATGATTAGAAATGAAAATTTAAATATATCCAGCTGAAGTTGCTGATTGATCTATATATCAACGTCAGTTTTTTTTTCCATCAAATTTTCTTTTGCAGATTTACTTTTGATTTTTTTACTTTTTTCAGTTTTGCTTGGTATGGTTGTTATTGTTAATTTATTTTTTGATACTCTGTTGTTCATTGCTTACAAATAATTTGAATTTTCAGGATTTTTTGAAACACATAACAGCTGTGTTTTTTTTTTTTTGCTGTGCGAAAAAAGAAATTAATTTGAATGATTGAACAATTTGTAACTTTTACAAGAATAAAAAAACTTAAATTATGATACTATTGGTTAATTGTCAATCAACTAATTCATCTTTTTTCGTTTCGAGAATTCACTAAATATAAAAACTTTGATAATGAAATGACATTAGAATTTATAGATCGATGTATTTCGTTATAAAGCAATGAAAATTGATATGATTTTATAAGATTGAACAAAAATTCACACTGTACTAATAATACATTATTATAGTTTCCAATGGTATGTTAAGTGCTTTCATTATGTTATCGGTAATATTTTCGTTATAGTCATTTAATTTCATTAAAATCTATCAAATTATCCTCCTACAAAGAATTAATCACACAAATAAATGGGCAATTTTCATTTTCATTCTTTTTTTTTAATTTGAACTTCAGCTTTAGTCAATACCAATGCACATTTATGCACAAATAAAGATCTTCAAATAGTAAAAAAAA